AGAGAACTTGAATTTAATCTAATGTATTTACTAGACCTTTATTTATTAGACCTTCTCTAGGTCGTTTAGAATAGATTTTTTTTTTTCAATACCCATCCAATTTACATATACAACATTAATACAGACGTTGGACAAGCGATATGTTTCGTTGCGCCATCGTTAGAAGTTACGTTTCATCCTAACTCGTAAGCAAGTATTCAGAGGAAAGTAATAATTTCTCTAAGCTCGTTTTTCGGCCATTCACATGTATGAATATTAAAGTTTATCGATCTAATAAAACGTTAATGATACAAAATTCGATCGTTTTAAAATAGTTCTCTAAATCTTTTGTTAATTAATTTTGCATATATCTTTTTTTTTTTTGCATATATTTATTTGCAACGAGGAATATTAGAATGATTTCAATCGGTTGGCACTCCTTGGAATCTAGGATACGTTCGATTTCAATCGAGCGAATGTTGAAGTTCGCGTTCTAGTTTTGAAAGTGAACGCGTTTGGATAACCTGTCGTCGTTCTCTTAATTGCCACCTTTTCATTTTGTATTTTTACATTTTTTTCTGTTATAAGGAAGGGATCCAGCTGTGTTGTGTGTTTTGACTTCGAAAATAACTACGAATACGAATGACCAAAACAAATCTCTGAAGTATTTATATCTACTATATGTCCTCGTTGTTACTTTCGAGAACCTGCGACACACCTGTGTGTATCATGTAAATGATAGTCAATAGGAAGAAATAATTTGTTTTCATCATATTCCATGAAAATTCATAAAATTGGTATTTTTATTTTCGAGCTAACCAAAGGAAAAGTTATCTTCAGCAATCTTGCTAAACTAGCATAGATACTTTTTTTATGTAATTAAAGTCTTGACTAACGTTTGCTGTTACAATATCATCGTTCAATTATCATCATCATCATTATCATTATTTTTGAACGCTTTTACTTAATGTTCATATCCTAGATGTTTGTTCGTATGATACAGACATCTGTTCTGTAGATTTTATTCCTATTAAATGGATGTGTCAGCTGGTACATAAAAGCATAGAGTACTCAACGTTACACGATGATCTCGTAAGTCAAGGACTGACCAGGTGTCTGTCGTGTGTCTGTCGTAGGACAAAAAAGTCGACAATTTATTGAGTACAGTTTCTTCGTTAGGTTGTCAACTCGGTTAGATCAATTGATCTCTGTTTTCATGAATTAAGGACTCTTCGATAGCGGCAGCGGCGCCAGAATGATTCAGTGACAGGGGAATAACGATCGATATCGCCTTTCAATGATCAAGATCAATGGGGTAACTTTTTTCCCTCAGGCTAAGTCCGTTTCCACGTGCATTTCTTAAACGAAAGGATAATTGTTCTAAGCAACAGGATATTAAATACGATACTTTATCAATCTGGTTCTACTTTTAACCGCAACATTTATTTTATTTCAATTGGTAACTCGAACGTTACTCGCAGTGCCACAAAACTGGTACAAAAGTTGCAAAATTGTATTTTTTATTTTATACGGTTTCCTGTTCCTGTCTTGTTTTTTTTTAAAACCGATTTTGTTCTACCTCTCTTGTTAGTTATTCATGTAAATTTATATTATGAAAAGAAAAGTGAGCGATCGTATCGAGAGCGAAAAAGAATTTTGAACGTTGGACCTTGAAGTGTAAAAAAAAATTAGGAACTTAAATTTAGACCTTTCGTTCCGTCTTCCTTTTTTTCATCTTCTCTTAAGCAGGCGGATGTTAATCTTGTATGGGGCTTTCCTAACCGGTAACGTAACGCGACATATGGTTGGCTTCACACAACCGGTAGATTATTCCGTTCAAGATATACGAGCGAATCGGCAACGTGGCGACTACGACAAGAAGATAACTTTAACGTCAATGGATCCTGAGCAAAGTGAAATCCCTCGTCAGAATCGTCGGTGTAACGCCGCGGAACGGCGCATTCTTTTTAAGGTCAATGGCTTCCTCTTCAGTTGTCATCTCATAATGGATTCGTCCTTTACGTCGACGAAAATATATTTTATTTGCTAGAAAAATTAATTTTTTTTCTCTATTTTTTATCATCAATAAATAAAAATTTACGATGCTAATCAAATTGTTTCTATTTACATTTCAATTTTATAGGCTAAAATAAGACTTTGTTTTTTTGTTTGTATCTTTGTTAGGCTAAGTTTAAAAAAACACATTGAATCCATCTACCTATTTTTTGAGATTTCTAAATTCGAATGATAATAAGAATCCATCTTTCGGTGATTAGCAGTATCAGTAATGATGATATCATATAATAATTGATTTTTTGGCTACCGAAAACATGTTTATTCAATAGATGAGACTCCATAGATTTTTGTTTGTCGTACAAATAATCGATAGGATGACCGAACCTATTGCTGTCTTTCATTCTACGTGTCCTTCCACTTTCAGTTCGAATCGTTTGATCGAATATTACGAGATATCTTCAGGAGATACGAATGTTGACGATTGATCGAAATCTATCTGACGTTCTCTTCAAACTTATATGTATATCTTATTTAATTCTTAAAACAAAAAAAATATAAAACGATAAATCACGTAAGCGCCTTCCCCAATCTTTCCGCCATCTCTCCGGAGAAATTATCAAGATGATTAAATGTAAAGTTGCATGTAAATAATGATTAAAGTCGATTTTAAATGAAGAGTTAAAAGAGTTCTCTTATGACATGGCTTTCAAGGAGATGCAAATATCTAAGGACACACTCAACACGCCTCTTTTAAATTGCTCCCAGTCCATAAATTAATCTCAAGCGTGAGATATCGATCAAATGCGAGTTATCGCCAGGGGCAAGGAAAGACCCTCGAGGTTTATTATCTCGGATATTATTCCTACTGGCGAACTGTAAACGTTGAAACATAAAGAATAATGGAGCTCGAGTTGTGCACGAGACGACTTACAAGTTATGTTGTAGAAATAGTAGTAATAGTAGTAGTAGTAGTAGTAGTAGTAGTAGTAGTAGTAGTAGTAGTAGTAGTAGTAGTAGTAGTAGTAGTAGTAGAAGGTGTTTGGTCACCGCCTTTCTTTAAATATATTTCGAGTAGGTAACTTTATGGTCTGGTGTAAGTCACGTCCATGACGTCTCGTAAATATCGAGCCCATCTTCGAATCTCAAAATGTCAAATGTTTTTTGATAAATAGGTACATCAGAATTCGGGATTATTTTATGTCGAGATTTTGAAGAACTTTTAGGTTCTGATTTATCATGCGATCCTTATTCTCTTTTATTCATTCTTTCTTTCTTTCTTTTTATTGCAATAATAATAAGCGTGGATAGATGATCTTTGATAAAAGATGCACGATTGTGCATAAAATACGTTAGACTAATTAAGTATATATCTATATTGATGTGTGGCAGAAGTAACGGTACCGTGCTTGCGCCTGCCACCGTTCCAATGAGAGAATGTTGCTGATCCAGGATGATTAATTAAGTTTCCTGATGTAGAAGTAACAGTGGGGTGTACGCGTTAACCTCAACATTAAGCGATAATTATTTATGACATCAGAATAAAATAAGTATTTACGTTCTGCTTATCTAAAAACCCCGCATATTTCCGACCCTGACTTCTTACCGGTGTTAAAAGATAAAAGTTCGTGATGAAACAAAAAATGGCTACCGGTCAAAAAGAGAATTTCACTACACAACACGTTCTTGCATACTTTCACAAATGTTAGCTCGTGAGTTAATATTTGACACCGATGTAACGTATTACGTTACTTTTAAACGCAAATGTTTTTTATTTCAATCTTTTTCTCACTTTTTTTTTTTCATCTCCAGGTTTTTATCTCAACAATCGATTAACTGGATTCGGTTGGAATCTCGTTTTTGCGTTACATAAAACTGCGCCAAGTGTCAGGTTCATCGAGTATTCACAACGAGTGAGGCTATAGCGTAACGGATACTTGCATGCCCATGAACTTAAAAGAAAATTTTTATCAAAATACAGAATTTATTATAGATTGTACTCAATCATTTATGCGTTACGCTTTTCCTCACGCGCGTTCTTACAACTCTTAAACATTTAGATTATCTTTGAATATAAGATAATCAAAAGAAGAAAATAATTTATTTTTAGAGAAATAGATAATCAAGCTAACAAATTCTCAGTTGCACTACTCTCTCTTTTATTAAACGTTGTCGATAAAGAAATAATTTTGTCACAGATTGTAAAGTCATCTAACTTTTATTGTTCATTCGTCTAGAGTTTCAATGTTGCTTACGCTAGATATTAATGAAGTATTATCATTTGTGTAATAATCTCTCTTACACGCACGTTTTATTTTCCTTCCATTTTTTTGAGTCGAGATCGTTCATAAACACTTCCCGATTAATTCTTTCAATCGTCGAGAGTCTGATATCAACTATAGTGAAAAGAACGAAATAGAAAGCCGAGTTAAGAGAGAGGAAGTAAAAAGAGTTGTTAAACTTTATAAGAGGGGAGTTACGAGGAAGAGAAGATTCGCGATATTTCCGCGATGCGTTACTGATTCCAGATTTTTATACTACCGGTTAAAAGAAGGTGAAGAAAAAGAAGTAACGAATGTGACGAGATATGGTAGTTGGAGAATCGACTGATATATACCGAGTGAGACATTTAAAACACACTACCTGAATAACTCGATTGGTATTAGTGATAAAATCAAATGTTTCATAGTAAACGTAATTTCGAAGGATAACATAAGCCCATATGAATATTTCTTTTTTTCTTACTTCAATTTTAGCTCCGGCTTTTTAAATATTTTTTTACATAGAAAATAAAAATATGAAATATAACATAGTAAATACGTTCCACGTGCATAACGTTGGATTATGCCATTTTTGAAACCAAATAAGTACCGTCTGACATATTATTTTCTATCACCGACAGCAATCGAGTTATTCAGATGACCTGTTGTTTATTTTTTAGTATTTCATTCGATATATAAAAGTTCATACGTATGTTGTAGAAGAGCACGATTGTGCTCTAAACTTACATGTTTAACAACATCTTTGTAGCCATCATTAGATGCATCTTCGACGTTGATTTGAATCCCTGGCATGCGGTGCGGTGTCGATTCCTCGTGAAAGCAACTGGACAGAGCATTCTCCTGTTCGTTATTAGTAAAGGTCGATGACTCTTCCATCTTCATCATTCGTTGAGTTTTTGATCGATTTAATAATAGTTATATTCAGAAGCTGCTCTCTTCCAAGTTGCACTCTTCAACTTTTTTTAATAATCTTTTTTATTTTCTTTTTACAATTACTCACGGATTCCACAAGAAACCCCACTCGATCACCCCCGAAAAAATTCACGTGTGCGCTCTGTGACGTAATATCCTCTCTCTTTTTCTTTTTTTTTCTTTTTTTAGCAAACCAATTGAGTCCTAATCCTAGAAACCTTCTCAAGAATCAAGGAACTTTGACCTCGTATTAGAGCGAGTAGATATCTCAGATCTACACAACACACAACGTCCTTTCTCTCCCTCGAATAAGAGCTGAGAGCAGGACGAACGAGTGTCCTATTCCTTTCTCTAGGTACTTGAGTTTCTATTTAAAGTATATCAACAGGTCGAATTTTCCTTTTCGATTATTTCGAACAAAATTATTGTGCACGGATTCACGTGATTAAAATAATCAAAATTAGGGGTTGATCCTAGTGTTCGATCACGTGCCAATTTTTCTTCTTCTATATATCTACATATATATTCATGTGTATATGTGTATATAGAGATATATATATGTGTGTGTATGTATGTGTATGTGTATGTGTGAGTTCCGCACGCCGTTTCGTGATCGTCTCTCTCGCACGCGTGCGACTAGAGCCGCCGTCGCATCTGGCCTTTGGACTGGCTGGCAGGAGACCACAAGATCGGTTTTATACCTTCGTATCTCCCACTCTGTGCACGTTGGTCTCGCTTCGCGAGCTCGCGAGCAGGCACGTCGATCCTGCACACGGGCAGTTCCACCACGGCCGAGAGGATCGATCTTTTTTTCTTCCTCTTTCCCCTCCTCTTGTACGCATACTCGCACGCGAGACCCAACATATAAGATAGAATAAGACCCATCGTGACTATGTGCAAGTATATTATACGCTCGGCTCTAAACGCAAGGACGATCGGCAGGAGGAGGACAAGAGAGAGAGAGAGAGA